AATGGCAGACTTACAGTAATCCGCGTGGTAGCTGGAAAATTTGAGAATGCTAAAAGTCACTGGAAGTCTTTTTACCTTTTGGGTTTTGATATTGGAATGATTTGATGATCTTATTTTTTTGTAGTATTTTGTTTATTACTTTTATTTTATGTGTATGAGTGCATTGCCTGCATGTATGTAAGTACACCCATGTCATGCAATGTCTGGTGCAGGTCAGAAGAGGGCATCAGATCCCCTGCAACTTGAGTTACGAATGGTTGTTAGCTGCCATGTGGGTGCCGGAACCAAACTGAGGTCTTTTGCAAAGGCAGCCAGTGCTCTTAACTATGGGGCCATCTCTCCAGCCCCTTGATGTTTTTTTCTTATATCTGTTCATGTGTGAATGCTTATCTTTTAAATAGTTGTTCAAACAAACTTTATGTTTCCTCACATGTATCAAGATTTCCCAATGTCTTAGGTTTTCTGTGTAAATTTTTTTAATTGAATTTTTGTGTCTTTTATGCAGAACATCTTTATCATTTTATATCCCCTTCCCCATTGACACCCTTCCATAGCACCCCCTGACCAGAATTCATACATTCTGTCATTTGTGTTAAGTTCTATTGTGTCAAGTTAGTGTCCTCAAAAGTCCCTCAGTGCAAGTTCATCCACTGTGGTCTAGTCAGATGTTGTCCCTTCAGGAAGATCAGCTCCTCCTTGCTGAGCAGTAATCAACTGTCAATGATTCTTCGACTAAGATTGGGGTCTGCTATTTATTTCCTCAGCTCTGTTCTGGGTTTTTGTCTGTTTGAGTTTGTATGGCTCTGTGCATGCTGACAACATTACTCTAAGTTCATCATTTTAATGGCTAAAGGATGGTAATGATGTATATCTACCATAGTTTACTTGACCGTCACTGGCATTGAGATTATCTCATGTTGTAGTAGATCTAGACACCAGGAAGCCTAGGAAAAGTACCTTTTATTTTGATATATCTAATAGCTAATGTTTTGGCTTCCATCACTATAATGAAATATCTAATACAGCTAACTTTTTTTTTTTTAAAGATCTTATTTTGGCTCATACTTTTGGAGCGCCTGAGACTGGGTGAACCTGTTGCTTTGGGATTCTGCTGTAAGTACCAGATGGCTGTGGCAGGAAGCATGTGGTGGAGCTAAGTGCCCACTTTATGAGACAGGAAACAAAGAGGAAGAGGTCCTACACTTTCCTTCAAGGGCACATCACCAGTGACCTTAATGACCTCCCACTAGGCCCCACCTCCCAATAATGCCACCCTGGGGACCAAACTTTTAACACATGGACCATTGGGAGACACTTACCCAAACCACAATAGCCAGCTAAAAACTTTACTCAATGGAAGAGTATTGGATATTTCGGAGCCAGCTAATAGTCTTGGCCACAGGATGTTATTCTGTAAGCTCCATTTGCCTTTTCATGGGAGGTTTTTGCTTTCTGAACTCTGCATGTCTTATGCTTCCCAGGTTTAGGATTGCTGCATGCCAACATGAGGATGCTTGTCCCTGCTTTCTGCTTTCCTTCTCAGAGTCTTATGTTGGAGGAGCCTATAGGGAAGAGTCTTCCAAAATTGTAGCTGATACTATCCACATTGAACGTCTGAAATCATCCAGAAAACCAGTGAAGACATGAGGCAATGGAGCCTAAGAACAGGGGTGCTAGTTAGGGGACATGGCTGAAATGGGGCTTGTTTCTACAGGGGAAGGAGGGAAGGTGTTCAAAAAGTGCCATGGTTTCTGTATTGCGTTGCTTTTCTTTTTATGGGTTCGTGGCCACTGTCATCACTAGTGTGGAAGCTCCTGAGCACTGGAATCATCTTTCCATTCTTCTTTTTCTTTTTTCATATTTTGACAACAATTCTCCCACATGAACTTGGGTGCCCTACAATTCTGTGCAGTTCTGGCACTAATTATGATGATATGTGGCACCAGATCGCACAAATTGGAACACGAGGTCCCAACTAGAATGCCTTCATCTCAGAGGTCAGCTGAAACTGGGGTCCCCAGGCTGCCCATACTTCTGTACAACTTGGTTACAGACTTTTTAACCCAAGGACAGTTTACTGTAATGACTTTTACAACCCAGGTCAATGCTAGGCTTATGGTGCCACTTGCTGCTACAGGTTAGTAAGGTCGACATGTCTTACAGGATGGCAAATCTTGGAGGGTCCTGAGGGTGGGTGCTTCTGTCCCTGGGGGTGTGGCTGCAGTCCAACCTCAAGTACTTCTGTGAGTTCACTCTGCATGAACTCAGGGTTCAGAGTTTTAACCCAGGTTTCATTGTACAGCCATGAGCCATTAAATTGTTGGCTATAGAACTGAACTCAGTCTCCAAAGGCCATACCTGGCTCTTCTGGAACTTTTATCTAAGAGCCTGCTCTGGGTTACTTCATTAACAAAGACTCTGAATGGTGGGAATATGAATAACAAAAGATATTCTTTTGTAATATTTTATTATTTTTGTTTTATGTGTATGAGTGTACTGCCTGCATGTGTGTAAGTGCACCCATGTTGTGCAATGCCTGCAGGGTCAGAAGAGGGTGTCAGATCCTGTGGAACCGGAGTTACAGCTACTGTATGGATGCTGAGAATTGAACCCAGGTCCTCTGCAAGAACAATCAGTGCTGATAACCGCCGAGCCGTCTCTCTAGTCCTGCAAAAGATACTCTTATTGGGGAATTCCAAGGGTTTTGAAGCGCTGTGGCAGAAACGGGACAGAACAAGAGGTATTATTCACAAGTGGATTGCTCCTGTCTTTCTGCAGTGTCAGAATTTATTGAATAACAAATTTACAAGCTCTGAAAATTTTGTAGGCTGTATTTCACCAAGTAATCCCGATTTCACTTGATAATGTGACTGTTAGAGATCACAGATTCTTGAATGGCAGTCTTCGAACAATGCTCAGATGACATGGTACACTTTGCACCGTGACGCATAGGTTACAGAGCGGTGACAAGAGGGTTAAAGAGGCCACTGAGTTCAAAGAGGCCTTTCTGATGGCAGAGGAGAGCAATGCTATTGATGCACAGAGGCTCACAGCAGGTCGGTAGACAAGCTGTGGAAGAACCTGATCACAAAATTGATGGATGGCTCAGCAAGCCAGAGCCAGTTCAAGACAAAGGTGGTTC